TCAGAATCCAGAAGTTTTGACCCAACACTAACTAACTCATGATGAGCCAAGTTTTCCATCCTGCCTCATGTTATTCAGTTGCCTACCATCTGCAGAGCTTGCAGGGGCCCCACACAATCTCATTCATTTATTCCTATGTCTTTATTTCATTTTTATGGAGTCTTATCAATGAAATGTTTACCCATTTTAATGTCCTGAAGTATTTTCCTTATGCTTTCTTCTATTAGTTGTATGTCTTATATTTAAGTCTTATCTAGTTTGGTTCAGGTTTTTATTATTAATGAGTGATAAGAATCATGTTTCATTCATCTGCTTTTCCAAATAGCATTTGTTGGAAAGAATATCCTTTCTCCAATTTGTACTTTGAATACTTCTATTGAGAACTACTTGGTTGTAAATGTGTGAATTACTTTTAGCCCTCTATTTGTGTCTGTATTTATGCCAATACCATGTTGATTTGATTACTAGAACTTTGAAGTAAGTATTTGAAGTCAGCTAGCATATTGCCATCTGTTTTTCTCTTTATGTTTAAGATAGCTTTGATTATTTGGAATCCTTTAGTGGTTCTATACAAATTTTATGTGAAGTGTGCCATTATGCTTTGATAGGGCTTTCTGGACACCAGACATCTTTTCAACTTTTTAATGTATATCCTCCTCTGAAATTTCTTTCATTGCTCTTTATATTTTTCATTATGTAGTAAGGCAAGATTTATTCCTAGGGTTTTGTTTCTGTGTCTATTGCAAGTGAGACTGTATCCTCAATTTCTATGTCAGATAATTTTCTATTGATACACAAAACACTACTGATTTGTGAAGGCTGTATTGTAAAAACTTGTCAAAATTCATTAATCAATTATAATTTTTGGAGGCAGAAAACAAATCTTGACATACTTGTAAGGAGAAACCTACACACCTTTAGGCATGCCCAAAATGGGCATGGTCAGAGGCAAGGGTGCCCGTTACACATACTGGATAGTGGAGGCAAATGCCTTTTAATTCCAGCATTCAGGAGGCAAAAGCAGGTAGATCTCTGTGAGTTCTTAATCTAGCCTGCTCTACAGAGTGAGTTCCAGGACAGACAGGGCTGTTACACAGAGAAATCCTGTCTCAAAAAAAAAAAACAAAAATAAAATAAAACATAAAAATAAAATAAAAAATATTGACACTATCAAGGCAACCAAGAGTTTTAAACTTCCTTTACACTTGTCCAATTTCTTTTGCTCTTTATGATATAGAGCACACCACTACATTTTCTTCATGCATCCTGTGTTCATGAGCTAGAATTATTAATATTATTAAAAAGTTTACATTTTACAGAGGGACCTACAGGTCCACTGTCCAGACAGAACTGTCCTAAAGTATGATTTCCCGGTCTTACTTAACTTTTTAAATCTATTCTAATACATAAAATATATGCATACTACCTCTAATATGAGTTCTAGACACAGCTTTATCTTTTACATCATGCTGTCATAATTATGACATATCCATAGCTTCTTAAGTAGACGAATAAGAGAATGAGAGAGCTAGAGGAGATGAAATTATAACTAGAATATAAGCAAGGGAGCGTAGTAAATTACTTCTCAACACTAGTTTCAAGAATCGTTAATTGAAGAACCACAGAAATTGACTGTACGTTAATTGTTACCACTTGATTTCTATTCTGCACATGATGCTAGGCATCTTCCAGCAGATGGCCTATCTACTTTGCCTATCACATTTTTTCTTTCAGTTTTAAAATACCTTAATTGACTTTTTTATACAAATTTAAGGTCATGACAAAAATTGTTAGTAGCTGCAGAAATATTTGTTATCTTCTTCCTCTTCTTGATCAGTTTCCCCTCATCAACAACCTCCACCACACTGATATAATCATTAAAACTAAGTCTACACAGACATGTTTTTATTGCTCAAAGTCCAAAGATTTTTAGGGTGGAGTCATTTTTGTTATTTTGTGTTTTATTAGTTTAGAGAAATAATCTCATTTGTTCACCAACAGAATATCATCCAGAAATTCTTCACTGCTCTAGCAATGCTCTGTGCTCCTGTTTACTGCCTCCCCTTATAAACTCTTAACAGTTATAGATTATTTTACTGTCTTCTAGTTTTCCCTTTTCTAGAAAGACACATGGTTAAAACTGCACAATTTTTACATGTACTGTGGGTTTTTTTTTCGTTTTGTAAGGGTTTTTCTGATTTCATGGATTATTATTTATTTTATCACTGAATAACATTTCATCATCTGGTGTCCTAGTTATGACAAAACACCATGACCAAGGCAACTTATAAAAGAAAATATTTCATTGGGCTTCAGTTTCAGAGAGTCAGCGTTTATGGTGATAAAGCAAAGGCATGGTAGAAGGAACAGCTGAGGGCTCACATCTTTTTTTTTTTTTTTTTTGGTTTTTACGAGACAGGGTTTCTCTGTATTGTTTTGGAGGCTATCGGTCCAGCCCGGCCTCAAACTCACAGAGATCCACCTGCCTCTGCCTCCCGAGTGCTGGGATTAAAGGCGTGCGCCACCACAGCCCTGGGAGGGCTCACATCTTGATGCTAAACAGAAATCAGAGTGAGGGGAGTGGGAGTGAGGGGGAGGGGGGAGGGAGAGAGGGCAGAGGGAGGGAGAGAGAAATAAATTCCAAGAATGGCACAAGTCTTTTGAAACTGCAAACCCAGTGAAACAAGGCCACATCTCCTAATCCTTCCCAAACAGTTCCACCAATTGGGGATTAAGTATTCAAGCACATTGCTCTACATCTGGATATACTGCACCTTTTTTCTTATCTACTCAGGAATGTATTGGATGATACCACCTTGGGGAATAATGAAACATCTACTATAAACATCTGTATGTAGGTTTTTGTGTGGATATACATTTTTAGCATCTTTTGATTAATTCCAGGAAGTTAATTACTGGATCATATATTAGAAATGCCATTAGTTTTGTAGAAAATTGTCTTTATTGTGGTGGCTATGGAAACTGCATCCTGCTCAGGGTGATGTGTTCTTCCTGAGCAAAAGAAAAATTGTTCTCCATCTTCTCACACTAAACATGGAAGAAACATTAACAACATTCTATCACAGGTTGACTGGGGTATATCTGACTTCTCTTTATTAAGTTAGGCTAGTGTGTTTAAGGGAGAGACCAAAGCAATAAAACACTATTCTTATCATATCACATCAGATTTACCACCTGCTAATGTGACTCATCACTCTTAGTTTTAACTTTTATCATTCAGCTCCAGGGAGTATTTGTCAAGTTTATCCAGCACAAAGTTACTTTTGTGTTCTCTCTTTTGAACAGTCTTCTCGTTAAGAGTAGTTTTGTTGATGTTGTTGTTGTTGCTCATTTGAAACAAGATCTCCAAATTAGGTTGTCCTTGAACTTCATATGCAGCTGAGGAAGACACTGATTTTCTAATCCTCCATCTCCTAAGTGTCAAGGTCACAGGTATGAGCTACTGTGTCCAATTTATGAGGTACTAGGGATGGAACAAAGTGCTTCATGCATGCAAGGCAAGCAGTCTACCAACTGAGCTGTACCCCTTGCCCTCCCTTACTCTATATAAGATAAGGCTGTTGACTTTGCTATTTACATATTATGTAAAGTGATGCTAAACTTTAAAGAGTTGACAATTAAAATATCTGCCAATTCTACAATTTCTTTGAAAAAATATATAGTACACCCATAAATAATGCCTAAGGAAATCTTTGTCAATCTCACTATACAAAAGAACCTCAGCTACTGCTCACCAGTATTAATTCTTGGTTTGCATGTTTCTTCACAAAATTCATGTGTTGGAAATTCAATTACATAATTCCAGCGTTATTAGTGTTTGGGGTGTGGCTTTCAGGGCATAATTAAAATTCACTGAGGTCATGAGGGTAGAACTTCCATTTTGGCATTTGTGGAGTTAGAAGAAGAAAGAGGAAGAGAACAAGGGGTAGAGAGGAGAGGTGAAGAGGAGGAGAAATCTAAGCTGACATGCTCACTCTGTCTCATCATGTAATGATTTCTGCCATCCCATAACATGGTCAGAACATCCTCTCCACACACAGGCTTCATGTACCTGAACATACAAATTTTCAGAACCAAGAGCTAAATAAACTTTTACCCTTTAGAAATTACTCAATTTGTGGTATTGTGTTATAGTAACAGACACTGAACTAAGACAACTACAATTAGTTTTTAGAAATATGTAATGAACTTAAAATCTCAATGAGATACGGTGTCCAAAAATGTCTTGAGCAAAAATAGCAAATCTGGAATTATCACACTATAAGAATTCAAAATGCATTATAAAACCATAGTAATCGCCGGGCGTTGGTGGCGCATGCCTTTAATCCCAGCACTTGGGAGGCAGAGGCAGGTGGATCTCTGTGAGTTCGAGGCCAGCCTGGTCTACAAAGTGAGTTCCAGGATAGCCTCCAAAGCCACAGAGAAACCCTGTCTCGAAAAACCAAAATAAATAAATAAATAAATAAATAAATAAATAAATAAATAAAGCCATAGTTATCAAAGCATAAGCTAGACACAGAAACATGCATCTGTCCCCACAGCTATTGGGAAGCCGAAGCAGGAGGTTTGCTTGAACCCCAAAGTTTGAGACTAGGCAGACCCACTTTAAAAAACAATCTAACCACAGCAAACATATTATACCCCAAAAATTTATATTTATCTTGTTTTTTAAATACCAACTTCAAATAGATTAAAGACTTAAATGAAGTACTTGAAACTATTAAAGCATACTTTTAAAAGGGCAAAAGGCAAAAAGCCTATGACATTGGTATAAGAGGAGGTTGCTTGATCATATCTCCTAAAACATAGTGAAGAAAATAAAAATAAGTAAATAGCATTTCACCATATTAACAATCTCTGCATAACAGGAAAACATTCTGAGTCAAGGGACAGCCTATTTGTCTTAATTACTTTTCTATTGCTGGGACAAAGCACCATGACTAAAGCAATTTATAAAGGAAACATTAAATTGGGCTTACATTTTCAGTGGATTAGAGTTCATGATGATGAAACAGATATGTGGTGGCAGAAATACCTGAGAGTTCACATCTTGGTCTGTAAGAGAGGGGGGGGGAAGAGAGAGAGAGAGAGAGAGAGAGAGAGAGAGAGAGAGAGAGAGAGAGAGAGAGAGAGAGAGAGAGAGAGAATCACAAATTCAGGTGATAACGCATGCCTTTAGTCACAGTACTCAGGAGACAGAAGAAGGTGGATCTCTGTGAGTTCAAGGCCAGCCTGGTCTACAGAGTGAGTTCCAGGACAGGCTCCAAAACCCTGTCTCAAAAAAACAAAAACCAAACAAAGAAAAAAACTGAAAAAAACAAAAATGGGCTACAGGCTTGAATAAATGTTTAGCAAAAGAGTAAATAAAGTGAAAAACAGATATATAAAACTGTTCAACATCCTATCAGTAGAATAAATTAAAACCACAATGCAACATCACCTTATACCTCTTAGATAATGCATCAAAAAGATGAAAGATAAATGTTAACAATGACATGTAAAAAGATGAAACCTTTATATACTATTAGTAGTATTATAAATTGGTGCAATCATTTTGGAAAACATAGTCCTAAGAATCATCATGTTATGATCTAGCAATCTTGCTACTGCCTATATATGCAAAGGAAATCAGTATATTGAAAGATGTCTGCATTTACATGCTCCTTGAACATAGAAATAGACCAAGTGTCCATCAATGGATAAACATATGCTAAAATACAGGATATAGACACATAATAGAATAGTGTTCAGCCTGAGCAAAAGAAATTCCATCATTTATGCCAATATAAGGTAAATGAACCTAAAGGTTATTAAGTTACATCAAAGAAGCCAGGCACAAAGGAATAAATGACATATTTTCTCATATGTGGAAGCTAAAATTCGACAAACTTGAAGAGAGCAGAATAATGGTTACCGGGAGGAGTTGGGGAAGAAGAGAGAAGGAGACATTAACCAAGAATATAAAGAGTAAGTTTGCTACCTCCCTCCCCTCTCCTCCCATGCTCCAAATTTTCTCAGGAATTTTTGCCCCTGCCCCCTTCTTTGGGGGGGGCATGCGTTTTTCTCTTAGGGTCCTCCTTGTTTCCTAGTTTCTCTGGTGGTGTGGATTGTAAACTGATAGTCCTTTGCTCTATGTCTAATACACATTTATGAGTGAGTTCATACCATGCTTTTCTTTCTGTGACTGAATTACCTCACTCAGGATGGTTTGTTCCAATTCCATCCATTTGCCTGAGAATTTCAAGATTTCAATGCTTTTTTTCTGCTGAGTAGGACTGTCTCGTAAAAATAAAAAAAATGGGAGGGAGAGGGAATGAGGGTATTGATATGTATAATGATTGTAAATTATTAAATTGAAAAATAGATATAAAAAACATAAAAATGAATAAGTTTGGAGAGAGGCAGTTGGAGAGATAGCTTGTCAGTTGAGAGTAGTCTTTGAAAGGAACCAGGTTCTATTTTCAGCACCCACCTGGTGATTCATAAACATCCATAACTCCATTTCCAGGGGATGCAATATCCTCTTTCTGACCTCCACAGGTACCAAACATACCCATGGTACACATTCCTGCAGACAATACTCACATATAAGATAAAATGAATACAACAAAAGTTTAAATATGAACAGGTTCTGGTGTTGTATTGCCCTGGAAGAGGATTATAGTTAACAATGGATTGTAAATTTCAAAACAGCTGCAACAGAGGGTACTAAATATTTTTATCCCAAAAAAATAAAACTTTTGAGATTACATGTATGCTAAATTCCCTGAACTGGTCATCCCACAATGTATATATGTAATAAAACATCAATTAAGGTTATATCCTACAAAGGGAAAACTATTCAGCAACCAAAGAAAGAAAACTACTAACACACGCTATAATTAGGGTAAAGTCAAAATACATACTAAGAGGAAGGCATCATACTTTAAAGGATACATATTGCATATTTATTTCTGTTGAATAAATGTAAAATCCACAAATGTAAAATCTTACATAGAATATTAATTGTTTTCTAGGGATAGAAGTATACATTAAAACACTGCAAGTGGGGACACATGGGGACAGAAACTGTTTCTGTCCCACCTGGTTCCACAGTCATTTAGCCCCCAAATAAATACACAGAGACTTACACTAATTATAAACTGTTTGGTCAATGACTCAGGCTTCATATTGTCTATCAGTCTCTTAATTATTAACCCATTTCTATTAATCTAAGTATTTCCACATGATTTTCACTTACTGGAGAATGCTCCAGCATGTTGCTCCTTTGGCTCACTCTCCTAGTCCTTGCCCCAGAATTCTCCTCATCTGGTAGCCCAGCCCATACTTCCTGCCAGGCTATTGGCCAAGAAAAACATATATGCAGAAGGACACCCCCCCATCACAGATGTTTCATATATTCTAAAACTGGGCTGCAGCAATTAGTCTCAAAACTTTCTAAATTTAATAAAGATCATTGAATAGTCTACTTTGAGTGGATAAATTTATGATACAAACATTATGCTACACTACAAAAATTTTTTTAAAAAGAAGATGACATCTATCTGGGCATGGCGGCATAAGTCTTTAAAAATCCCAGCACTCAGGAGGTAGAGGCAGATGGATCTCTGTGAGTTTGAGGCCAGCCTGATCTACAGGGTGAGTTCCAGGACAGCCAAGGCTACACAGAGAAAACGTGTCTCAAAACAACAACAACAAAATGAACCAAACAAAAAAGGATAATATTGTATCTGGCTTGCCAGCTCTTGCTTCTCTATGTTTGGATGACCAATTACATACCATGTAGGGACTATTTTCATTTATGAGAAATAAAATATACCTTTACATATTGAATTAAAATTCTCCAGTTAAGACTTTATAGTCTTTCAATTTCTGAAGTAAAACTATCATTAAATGTGTTTCTTATAATTTTATAACTGGCCCTTTAAATTTAAGAAACAAAAGTTTAGCAACTTAGAATGTGATACAACTCTGAATTGTATGACATAATTATTTATACATATTTTATAGTATCTTATTAGTGGTGAATTATCTTGGTTCTTAGGAAATATGTGGCCTATATGTTCATAAACCTTAGTCTATTAAATCAGCGATGATTATGTTTGCTTTGTATGAGCTTCTAAAAACACCTATAATTTTGCCTTCATACTCCATGATTATTATTTCTTTAAAATAAACGGACCAAATAATTGTCCTTTTGATTTAGAGTTCCAAGATTATCATTTCTGGTGAACTAGATAATCTTTTTAATGTAGATTTTAATTTGGAGTCATTTTTTATTTCTGCCAGCAGGTGGAACCCTTTAGATTTATTTTGTCTCACAGCATTAGCTTAAACCAGCCCTTTGTGATCCATTTTCATTTTTAAAAATAGTTTTGTTTAATGTGTTTGTTTCTGGAACAGAATGAGTATGCAAGCATAATCAACATTTATTCCCTACAAAAATTTTTATTAATGGAACTCACGTTAATATATTTAATTGAAGTTACAATTTCACAGACACTTGGTCAACACTTGTCACAGGGTAAATTCTCAAGATATTCTTTGTACCTTCAATGGTAAAGAAGCACATAAGCTAAAGGAGTATCCATTGTATAGAATAACTGCTTTCAAATGTTTTCTGTAGTCAGATAGTAAATGTTTATGATTTGTGGGACTTGCATTGTCTATCAAAAATATCCGTTTCTATGGTGGTGCAAAAATACCTACAGATAATATGTGGACAGGTTTGGTCTTTTGATCATGGTTTTTAACTTACCCCTGCTCTTGGTCAGCACCTCCTAAACTTGAATATGAATATGAATCAACAGGATTTGCTAAAATTAAGATTGTGACATCAGTTCTCCAGGGTGTACATTAGGCTCATCTCTGGAGGGACTCGAGGATACTAATAAGCTTCTAAGTACTGGGGATGTAGTTGGTTCCAGGTACAGACTTTACCCTGGAAACCATACTCTAGACCATTCTGCTGCTTTACTATTTGTTTTTTAAATGTTTATTTGTGCCGGGCGGGCGGTGGTGGCACACGCCTTTAATCCCAGCACTCGGGAGGCAGAGGCAGGCAGATCTCTGTGAGTTCGAGGCCGGGCTGATCTGACAACCTCAAAAACAATACAGAGAAACCCTGTCTCATAAAAACAAAAAGAAAAAAGTTTATTTGTCCGTTTTGTGTGTGTGTGTGTGTGTGTGTGTGTGTGTGTGTGTGTGTGTTACATGAGTGCTGGTACCCAGGAACTAGAGTTACAGGTTGTTTTGAACTGCCTGATGTGCTACTGGGAACTGAACCCAGGACCTCTGGAGGAGCAGCAAGCTCTCTAAACCACTGATCCATCTCTCCAACCCCCTGTTACCTTATTTCTAGAATATTTTTTTAGCAGACAAAACAGATATCAAAACATGAACTTGTAATGTTTCCTAAAGAGACAATTTATAAAGGAAGTGACTGGGTCAATGGGAATTAAGACTTTATATTGTGACTTGCATGGTTCAATTATCACCATCTATTAGAGGAGTGTAGTTGTCTTTTGTTAGGAATGATGCTATAGAAAATACCTCTTACAGAGGCTCACAGGCTGAAAATGTGTTGACATTAGTATGAGAAGGTGAGAAGAGAATCACCCACCACTGCTTTCATCCTGACATAATTCCTATATTTTAATGCATGTTTTTACATAGCTGAAATCATATTGCACATTTAACTTTGAAATACAGTTTCTTAAGCATAGTGATCAGAATTGCAACCCTTGTGATTAAATACTATTTGTAAACATCATTTTTAATAGATATGTAATTTCCATTACATATAAGTATATTTTAGCAACTGTTCCTACCCCATCCATAATTCCTGAATGTTTTCTGTATTGGTGTTTATTAAAAATAATCTTTCAATGAATATCTTAGCGCATAAATTTGTTTTCATTTCAGATGTCAAAATGCATAGAAATTGAATTACTGATATTTTTAAGGTTCATGATGCATATTCTAGGTATCTTGATTATAATCTTATCCTCAGTGCATCAGAGGGACAGCTGCACTACACCTTGTCTAGCACTGGCTGTTTTCAATCTTTTCTTTGTTTTACACACACACACAGAAAGAGAGAGAAAGAGAGAGAGACAGAGAGAGAGAGAGAGAGAGAGAGAGAGAGAGAGAGAGAGAGAGAGAGAGAGAGAGAGAGAGAGAGAGAGATCTGGTATTGGCTAAATTTTCTCAATTATTTGAGGGGAAATTCGCTCTCCCTCTTTGTGTCCTGACCCCATACCCTATTTCATTGTTTGTCCATTCATGTTGCTATAGCAAAATGTCATAAACTAGATGGCTTAAAAACAACATAAATTCCTTACAATTCTGGGTGTTGGAAGTTTAAAATCAAGGTACTGCCATGTTTTGGATCTAGGGAAGACCTGCTTTCTTGTTTTTAGATGATGGTCTCTCCTTGTGTTTTCATGAGATAACACGACAACAATAACAAAAAAAGTGTAGGACATAGGCAGTTCCCTGGGTCCTGTTTTATAAATGCCCAAATCCCATTCAAGACGCCTGTGATGATTGGCATTAATGTGAACTTTCTACAAATTATAGTCACTTAACAAGGGAACCTCTATTGAGGGACTGTCCTGATTGCCTTACCTGAATGTGGGTGGCACCTTCTGACAGCAGCCCAGATAAAAGGGCAAGGCACAAGGAAGATGACTAACCTTTTGCTCCCTTGGCCTTTCATCTGGCCTTTGCATTATTGCCCTTGTTGCTGTGGCCAACTCCTCCACTGATACCCGAACAAGTGTTTCCAGGCTTCGGGAACTAAGCTTCAGCATCTCTCTAGAAACCTTCCAGGTTCCCAATGCCAGATTTGGACTGCTGAGGCACACAGCCTCATGGACTGGGCAAGTACAGGGTTCTTGACCTCTCCAGTGTAAGATAGCCATTGTAGAATTAATATGACTACCAAGGCACCCAGTCTAAAGAACCAAGCAACTACCAGTTCTGAGCCACACAGATGTCAGACAACTGTTGTTATCATTTCAGCATAAGATGATTTGATAAAGTATATATATTTGATAATATATATATCCATTCATTCTATCACACTTACTAATTCAATGCCCTGGAGACTTATTAAAAAGCTCACCCACAACACCATCACATAAAGAATTCAGTTTGAACATATGAATATTAGTAGGGTACAAAAATTTAGATTACAATACCCATTCACTCTCTCTTACTCCTTCTTTCCAGTCCCTACACACACACACACACACACACACACACACACACACACACAAATACACTTTCAATACACTTGTTTTCAGTGGCAAGCATGGTGTTCTTTGAGTGTCTTGGTGCTTGGCAGAAATACTTATGTGCATATCTACAAAGGTGGAGAGCAGAAGCCCTTCCTGGGGCAAAGCTACATCCAAGAATGGTTAAGACACAGAGCTCTCTAGCAGCTTCCCTCCCTGCATACAGAATAACTTGAATAAAGCCATGTGTGCTAGGCTAAGACAAAACAGTATTAAAGAGAGGATGATTTCACTTCTGGAAAAAACCGCAGATGTGGGGCTGTCACTC